GACGAGTTAATGGGTGCAGCACACCAACATGGCACATGTATACATATGTAACAAACCTGCATGTTGTGCACATGTACCCTAGAACTTAAAGTATTTTTTAAAAACCCCAAAAAACTGTAGGGGAAGCATGCAGATGGCAGGTGCAGAGGCCACGGGGAGTGTTTTGGAGCTCTGGCCCCATGGCTGCATCTAAGGGTGGGTGTCTGTGACTCCCGAAGCCCAAGTGTCAAGTGAGCGTGTGTTACAGTGTGCTCTTTCAGCTTTGCCATCTGCAGACGGCTTGTGTTAATCAGCTCAATGGACTCTCTGCCTTATTGCTGGGGCAGGGGACCAGTGTGACAGCCTGAGTTCTTGCCCATTGTATCAGAAGAATCGGATCACACGTGGGCTGGAAGGATGAGTGCAAGGTCTTATTGAGTAATGGAGGTGGCTCTCAGCGAGATGGATGGGGGGAAGGAAGGAGGGGATAGAGTGGGAAGGTGATCTTCCCCTGGAGTCAAGTCCCCAGCAGCCGAACTCTTCTCTGACCACCCCAGCTGAACTCCTCTTGGTGTCCAGATGTCCCTCCTCTTCTCTCTTTCTCTGCTGTGCCACCCTGCCACTCTCTGCCTCTCTGTTCCTCTGCTCCTCTCAATGTCCAGCCGCTTATTTTTCTGCCCACTAAGGTCTCAGGTTTATATGGACACAGGATGCAGGGCATGATGGGCCAGAGTGGTCTTGGAAAACGCAACATTTGGGTGTGAACACAGGAGTGCCTGTTCTCACTGAGGTCTGTGGGCACAGGCCCCAGGGTGGAGCCCTCCTCAGGGACCCCGCCTTTCTCTACCCAGCACTTCCCTGCCCCCCCCCATATCAGAATGATCAAAAGAACATATGGCTATGAAAAGCCATACATCATTTGCAAGTTACAAGATTACTACTATCCTTTCTTGCCCTCATTTTTACTTTCCACATTTTCCATATGGCCCTCCCCATCTACAGAGACCCGGTGCTCTCCCACTGTCTCCTCCCCTACCTGGATTTAGCTGCCCTCAGTCCTGCATCCTGGATCTTGCCTGTCCCCTAAGTATCAGTAATATTTCCCTGCTAATTTCCCTTCTTACAAGGTGTGATCTCTGCTATGTGTTAACCGGTCAATCTGGGAAGCTGTTACTCCCTATGGTATCAGAAAAAGTGCTGCCTTGCCAATCACTTATTAGAGACCCTGAATTTTCCAGAGCGATTTCAATTCTGGCACAGGATGGCTAGGAATGCATAGAAGTGAAGGTAGAGCTTTTGTCAGTTTTCAAACCTGGGCTGGTGAGGGTGGTGACTTACTCGATATCACTCTAGCTACCAGGCCTGGGAATCCAGGGCCAGCCTAGACCTAGAGAAAATAAAGGTGACTACCATACATCCATATCACACACTCAGTGTGACTCTCTACATTCCCAGACCACAGAGAACTCTGTAACAATGTCTCACCTGTGATTCTCAGAGACAGGCCCCAGTTTGGAACTTCCTACCAGCGGTAATGTTTTCCCTTTTATTTATCTCATGTTACCTCAGATACATTAGTTGGTTACATAGAAATCAGATCAGCTCAAAATCATCCACTTGTGGATTGTCGGTGAATTTTTTTTTTTACCCAAGTAGGTTTCTCCATATATCCATCAATGCTTCTGGGTCACTTTTCCATAGCCACAACTTGGTTTATTCTCAGGAAATGCAAGCTACGGTTTTTATAGATCTGAACCAAACCACTAGAGAGATAACCATACTGCCCTGAAATCATATCCAGTTAAGTATGCATCTCACTTTTTTTCTGTTTTTTCATAACCAGAAAAACTCTTCATCATGTGTGATTCTAGCTGCAAACTGTGCAAAATGAAAGCTATGAAATCAAGAATGGAAATGGAAATGTTTTCATATCAGCACCTGTATGGAATATCCCTGGCTGTTGCACTCCCACCTTCACCCCCACCATTCAGGAAGAACCAGTGTGATCAAGGTCATCCTATGAGGGCAGAGCCCTGGCACAAAAACACAAAACTCTCCCGCTCCCTCACATCAGCTTGTCCCCCAACACACACACCCATTCCTAAGTCAAGGAATGATTTAATTTGTAATGCACAATTTAATTTGCTTCACACATTACATCATTTCTCTATACGCTTTAAGGAAAAAACTTACAAGAAGAAACCAGAAGGGTTTAAGACCTGGTGAGGAGGGAGATGATGGATTCAGGTGCAGGGGCCACAGAGGGGTTGGTGCAGTGACCAGGGAAGACAGAAGAGCAGGAGTTAATGGCTGCTTGTGCATATGGGGACCTGAAGGCTTTCTTAGCACCAGACAGCCCCCAACCTCAACATTCCTTAGCTGAGAGCCAGTTCTCAAACTTTCTTAAGCATCAGGAATAACAATAATGATTAGGGAGCCTACTAAAAATTCAGATTATCATGCCTCATCCCCAGAAATGGGTCCATAGGTCTGGATTTGAGGTTCTGCATTTTTAACAGGTACCAGGTACTCCAGGTTATTCTGCTGCAGGTGGCTGGAGACCCACACCTTGAGATCTTCTGCCCATTGGCTTCATTCAGTAGAGCAAAGCATGCAGTGAGTAACTCAAGGGGAAGGCTCAGGGCCTTATGAGTGGAAATCCCATGTGCAAGCATGATTCCACGGGAAGCTGTATGCGAAAACACTCGAGGAGAAGGGTGTTACTCGAGAGCATTCAGCTGACATGTGACAGCTACACTATATGCATGCCTAAAAGGAGGTGTTATGGTGTCTAATTCTTACCTTTAGACAATTTTAAAGATGGATTCTATGATCCTTGATCACTTGAAATTTTGAACCAGGGGAAAGATATCTAAGAACAATCCCTATAAATAATAGCAATGAATAGGTGTGAAGAGTGACTATATTTGGCCACAAAGTGAGGTGATACAGGCATTTCCCCCAACTTTACAGGAGCACCATTTCTGTATTCTTTTTACTCCTACAAGATATACATGATGTTTACATTGTGCTTTGTGTTATACAAAGAGTGGATACTTAAAACAGGCCTAGAATTTTTGAAATATAAAATAAACGCCTATGTTGTTCATTCTATTCAGTTGACTATCTCAAGACAGAATCTTCCAGCAGTGATATCCCTCTTGGGAAACTCAATTTTGAAAGTACTCAAAAATAGTAATGTGAATCCAAAAAGATTCACATTATTTCTAATATTCTATAAAAGAAATCTTATTTCCCTAAGTTAAGGCCATATAGGCTAATAGTACATACTCTTAAGCGTTTGAGTATATTAAAAATCTTTTAGCAAGATACAAGGAAAAATAATAGCAGAGGTCCTCAATAGAAAA